CAAAAATTAGCTGGGCATGGTGGCACATGCCTGTAATCCCAGCGACTTGGAAAGCTGAGGCAGGAGAATCGCTTGAGCCTGGAGGCAGAGGTTACAGTGAACTGAGATTGTGGCACCCAGCCTGGGTGGCAGAGTGAGACTTGGTGTCAAAAAAATAAAATAAAAAGACTCACAGTTTCAGTTAGGAAACAGACATTTGTATATTTGGAAACAAGATTTAACTCTGTGGTAATGAGTTGACTGTATTTTGAGAGATGCAGGACATTTTAGAAAATGCCCAAGTCCTAAAAAATTAATTTGAAGTCAAATCTGTGTTTGTGTGTTTAAGAGCAGGGATAAGGAAACATTTAGCAGCTGAAATGTTATAAAATAAATGTGCTGTAAAGTCTCCATTTTAGTGATAATTATTTCATATTTAATAAAACTTATTTCACATAATTTATAGCTGGATATTTGCTTATAAAATACTTTAGGTTTTAGCTGTCATTGACTCATCTATTGACACCATTTTTTTTTTTTTTTTTTTAGGTATCCAAAAGGCATTCATGTTGAGACTTTAGAAACTGAAAAGGTAACCCCAAGAATTATCGAGGGCTAACATTAAGCACATGCATTGTTTCACTGATACAGGTTTCATTTTTTGGTTTTTTGTTTTTTCTCAGGGTCTTGCTCTGATTGCCCAGGCTGGAGTGCAGTGGGGCAATCACCGCTCACTGCAGCCTTGACTTCCTGGGCTCAGGTGATCCTCCTACCTCAGCCTCCCAAGCTGGGACTGCAGGCTCATGCCACCGTGACTGGCTAATTTTTTATTTCCTTTTTAATAGAGATAGGGTTTCGCCCTGTTGCCCAGGCTGGTCTCAAAGTCCTGGGCTCAAACAGTCTGCCCACCTTGGCCTCACAGAGTGCTGGATTACAGGCCTCAGGCACAGTGCTCAGTCCCTAATGTGCTGAAAGTCAGAATTTCTACCTTGTCTCTGCTTGTTGTGAGCTGGATAACCTAGGGCAAGTTATTTGACTTCTTTACACCTCATTTTCCTCTTCTGAATATTGGGGCTGAGCATGAGACTGGTGATGTATACCTGTATCATAGTCTTTTTATGGTGATCCTGTGGGTAAGTGGAAGTGATGCCTTATAAACTTGAAAGTATACAAATGTTAGTTCATATTCTTACTATGGCAGAAAGCTATAATGGTACATATGAAAAAATGGCTTCATGTTGTGTGGGCAGGTAAAATTAAATTTTAGAATTTGGGTTGTAAGCATAGCTATTGTCCTGGGTATGCAGGGTATACTGATAGAATTGTGATGGGTAGGGGGTGGCTAGTGGTGGGTTCCTTCTGCAGTGTTTGAATTTGATAATTTGTTGTTGCTCTTAAGTCAGGTATAAAATTAGAGATTAAATAAGGTAGAAAAACAATCTTGATAAATGATTTATCTTTAGCGGACACAAAATATATATGAGAAAGAAAGCATTGGTTATCTGACACGTTAGCAGAAAAATCCAAGTGGCATGAGTGCAGTGGCTTATGCCTATAATCCCAGCACTTTGGGAGGCTGAGGCTGGTGGATCACCTGAGGTCAGGAGCTTGAGACCAGCCTGACCAACATGGAGAAACCCTGTCTCTACTAAAAATACAAAAAATCAGCTGGGCGTGGTGGTGCATGCCTGTAATCCCAGCTACTCGGGAGGCTGAGGTAGGAGAATTGCTTGAACCCGGGAGGTGGAGGTTGCGGTGAGCAGAGATCACGGCATTGCACTCCATCCTGGACAACAAGAGCGAAACTCCATCTCAAAAAAGAAAAGGACTGGTAATTGGGCTATATTAATTCTTTTTTCTTATGTTAATACAACATATAACATATGTAAGTTTTTTATGTTAATACAACATGTAAACATTTTACTTTAAAACTACTCAGAAATTGATGTTCCAATGCAACATAACTTTTTTAGTATTTGTCAAAGGAAATGTCTTATGCTTACAGTCTGTTGATATTTTTAACTGATGCCTGTTGGGTTGAATTAGTAAGCCATAGGAAAATGTCATCAAAACACAGAGACAAAATTTGGTTTGTAATGCATCAGTTCAAACTTGTTGGCATTTCAAAGTATTTTCTGTTGTATTTGGTTCCTGAAAGAATGTGCAGTGGCTGGGCATAGTGGCTCAGGCCTGTAATCTCAGCACTTTGGGAGGCGGAGATGGGCAGGTCACTTGAGTCTAGGAGTTTGAGACCAGCCTGGACAACGTGGTGAAACTCTGTCT